TAATAATAATAATAATAATAATAATAATAATAATAATAATAATGAGGAACTTATTGCTTCAAAATTTTTCAAAGTCTCTCTAAAGTTATGTCTTCCACGCGAAGGGAAAAAAATTTACGCTTCGAATAGAGAAGGGAAGTAAGGTTGATGAATGGATAGATGTATGCAAATAATTGTGTAAAGCATTTTGTCACAGTTGAATTTTCGAAACAATTATTGCAAAAGTTGAGAATGAAATTTGTCCAATTACCGATAAAGACAGAAAAAGCAATTCTGGGAATAAGTGGGAGGAAATTAATGTCATTGAAGAAATTGAAATGATTCTCCTCCAATTTTATTCATTGTCATATACAATTTCAATTGATTAAAAAAACTCATTTTCTAATATTAATTTCTTTTTTGATCAAAAGAAAGTGAATTAAATTAAGTTATTTTTTAAAGAAAATTTTGATTAAAAAAAAGGCAAAAAGTATTATGCAATGATTTTGAATGATATATTGTTGTGAAAAAAAAATGTCAATGTGGTTGAGTTTTAAAAAAATTTCAATTTTTATTTTTCTTTGAAATATTAAGATGGTATCCCTGTAAGAATGAATACATAGATCATTTGTTTTCTCAGTTTTCAGATCCAATAAGCTAGAGTTACTATCAGTTTTAAAGTTAAAAACACGATTTATGCGCTTGACAATGATGGTGTTAGTGTCAATAATTAATAATAGTCTCGAGAAATGAATTATTTATGTGACAATGTAAATTGCCAATCAGTAATATTCTTTTGTCATATTGAAAGACTTTCACTTGCACTGAACTGTCATTTCATTCAACAGTTTATGACTGTTCGATTACTAGTTTATTTCATTCTTTGCTAAGAGCTTTTCTGAAGCTAACCTGCATTCATCGTTCAACAGGTGAAAATTAGAGAGAGAATTCTGACTCGAAAGAACTTTAAAAATGTTCTGAATTATCGATATACATTCGAATTTTTATAAAATTTATAATAACAATTTTATTAAATCAGGAAAGCTTTTTAGACGATAAAATCATAGAAATGATGGTGCAAACTTTGCAGGACACTAAATAATTGCTAAAACTTCCCAAAGTATTTCAGAATTTCAAAATTTTCCACTTCAAAAGTCCAACTTTTATGAAAGAATATGCTTGTCACATTTTACAATGGCATATATCAATTATATATTAATGACAGGAAGGGGACTTTTGCAGTAGCAACCATCTCAGTCTTCGTTTTTTTTCTATCCAGAAGCTTTTTCCACACTTGAGAGCAAAACTTCTAAAACTTTGCCCCTCAAGGATTTTTCCGCCTAAAGCAATCAATAATTGTTAGAGATTTGGTCGCAAGCAAACTTCTCATTGAAACTTTGCAACAAAAAGAGCCAACAAAATATGTTATTAAGAATTTAAATTGAGTGACGATTTAATTAAAGTTTTTTATAATTTATTAAATTTTAATGTTGTTGTTCATATTCAATGTTTTACTTTTAGAATTTTTCCTTTTTTTGGTATCGATTTTTATCATTTAATTATAAAAAGAAGTGATCATAATAAACATATCCCATAATGAAAATGGATAGTGAAATGAATTTGCTTGTCGCATAAAGTAAGTTTAACCTGGCAGAATTATTTCTCAAAAGAGAAGACAAGAAAGGATTTCTTTCCTTTTTTTATTTTAAAGGACTATAAGAAAAGTAATTTTCATTTGCAAACCAAAAGTTCAAAGGAAGAAGATAACCTGAGTCATGTAGAAAGTTATTGCGAAGAGCAAGATAATGACTTCTCTTGCGATTCATTAAGATGATGGGACAGATCTGGCCAAGAACAGGAAAGCTTCTTTAAACAAAGCTTGTCTACAATGTGTCGTCAGAAAACTAATAGCTTCTGGTTGCAATCGCCATATTTTTATCGATAATATAACATAGAGAACAAAAGAGATGATGTCTCAGAGAAAGAAATATCTTTCAAAAAATCCAAATTTCTTCACTTTATGTTTCATAATTCAAACATATTTTAATGATGAAAAGCTAAGATAGTTCGGAAATGATAAAATGTCACATTAAAGCTGGAAGGATTTCTATTTTCACAAATTTCACTCATTTTTCCACTTTTCTACTTATAACTATTTGAATTGATGTATTATGGAAATGAAAATGATTTCAACCTTTAATAACGAATGTTTCTTAATTATCAATACCCACTTTCTTGTCCCACTGGTCATCTTCTCCTCTTCCCGCATCCCTGTCAACAAAAACTTGTAAAATTAAATTTGACAATCAATATTTACCTGTTATCTTCGCATACAATAATTTCCATTGATTTTAAGAGACGACTTCCTTCATACATACCATTGATCAATTTACACACTTTATGATAAGAATTAGCTGAGATGGTTCCTGCTTGTGCATTCTTTTCTATGCTTTTAATGATGCAAAAATTGGTTTGTTAACTAATAGGCGAAATTATTGTGAATAGAAGTAAATGAAGCTCGAAAAGTGGCAAAAAGCCATTCAGTATTTGTTATTCTTTAAGAAAAGCCTAACTAATTGCTCATCAGAATAACTCAATACAACTTAGCACCTATGCAAGGGACAGAACAGATGCTATCACTTCTATATCTCCTTTATTTCTTCTTAGAAAATGAATCATAAAAATCATTCACATAAATTCAACCAATTTTAGTTTTCTTTTCAATTTAAATTTTGTTGATTCAAATGAATTGTTGCTCCACTCTTTTATTAATCTCAATTCTTTCAATTTTTACTTCCCATGAAAGTCATTTTCAATTGTGCAAGAATTGGAATCAGGAGTGAGATTGAAAGAAGATTCAAATTGTTCTATTTAATTCAAGAATATACTTCTTCAAAGTTATATTTGGAATTAGAATTTCAGGATTAAACTCTCTTTAATTATTAACATTAAAAATTACAGTATAACATGTCATAAGTTAAACTGTTGACCTCTTATAACCAGTCATTCTTCACAGTTTTTTAATGAGCAAAGAGAAAAGAAAACAAAGAAATGAACATATTTACATACAACTCTGTTCATTTCCAATAAATGATATTGTCATTATTGGAAGATAGATGAATTTTAAGCCTTTGTGTATAATTACATTGATGTATAAAAGTCGTTCAAAATTTGTATTTAAATAAACAGCTCATACAATATGATAACATTGGACATGCAAGATTATTGTCGTTGTCAAACGTCAACTTCTACATATAATAAACAATGGCTAAAATCTGGTACAGAGATTTTTTTTTTTTGTTAGCTAAAAGTGAAAATGACACTTGACATTGAATGTTAAGGAGGAACTAAAAGGCTTTGTTGGTATATAAAGCAGTTAGAATCACTCTAAAGATAATATAATATAGCGTTTCTTCTTTTTCTCCTTTGCAATATTCATTTTCTATTTCTCTAATCCCTTTAAGTTTTTAGCTATTCATTTTCCATTTACGCAACCAAATTGCGAAGCAGATCATAATTTTGAAAAACAAAAATATTTCATTTCACACATGGCAATAAGCATTTCAGGGGTCAACCAAGCACTTTAGGAGTCAACAAATTAACTTTTTATCAATAACACAATAATTTCACGACATATTGTTTCAGATTGTTATTGATGAATCAAAATGCAATTATTTTACTCTCTTTTCTTTTCACTTTAGCTCATGGTTATTTGAATTTAACAATTTTACAAAATATTTTAAAAACAAAATTTCTTTGATATGACGAGGAAAGAAATTGTCGGAGATTGAAAGTACTATCACACAAAGCAGTACTTTTTTAATTTACAAAACAGACGTCAAAGTTTAATTATGATCATATCCTTTCATGCATGGAAAGAAAGGTTTGATTTAATAATTACCGGAACATCTTTCGTTATTTTTTCCTCAAGGAAGGTCACGGGGTCAAAGCTGAGAACCAAACTAGTAAAAGAAAGCGGAGGTCATCGAGTATCGGAACGGAAATTCCGTCTAATATTTCCATTTGTTTGGATTTATTAAAACTGAAAGAAGAAAAATAGTTCTAGAAAATAATACTTCACATGTAAGTTTTAACAGCTGATGTTGATTTGTTAACAAGTACGTTGTTTACTACACTATAAAGCTGATTACCACTTGGCAATATATAGAGGAATTCTAAAAGCTAAGCCATATCTTTTCGTCTTTTAATAAGTTATGATTATTCTTGTTTTACTTACTCTAACAAAGGTAGATTCCAGTTACAGTAATCAAAAATATACTGCATAAAATTATATATATATATATATATATATATATATGAGAGAGAGAGAGAGAGAGAGAGAGAGAGAGAGATTTTCCCATGACTTCTCTTGAAACAAAAAAAAATACATATATATATATATATATAGCAATGAGTATTGGATCAAAAATCCTTTTCAAACTTACGATTTTTTTTTTTAAATTTAATCATATTTGAAAATTTTTGGAGCACAAAAAGGATAAAAAAGATACCGCCGACATTTGTTTCATTAAGGAAAAATTGAATGATAATGGAAGATATACAGTGATAATATAGCATTTCAGTATTGACCAAAATTGTTATTTTTGCCAAAAGATGTAAGGGTTGTTGAACTCAGTTGCTATTCTGTTATTGGATGTTAATTCGATTCAACAATTTTTCCAATTCTTTTTAAAATTAATTAATCCTTTTGAAAAAAAAAAAGAGGGAAGGAAAAAAATTTTGTCTATCAGGAAAAAAAATAATTAATATGTTAAAATCACTTTTTTTACCATATAAAATGGATGAAATGATGTATTTATTTTACTTCTAATGCTTGTATTTTTGCATTGAATTTAATCTATTTTTTTAAACCTAATATTTTTTAATCAATTTAACCTGAATATCCGATTATTTGTTACATTCTTTTATTTGGATCGTTTTATAGTATTTCAATTACCAGCTTATATATGTTTCACCTAAAAATCGTTTTCAATTAATCGAACACTTTGATTAATAGAAAGTTAGGGGAGAAAGAAGAGAAAAAAAGAAAAAAAACTATATAAATTGGACAAAAAAAAAAAAAATTTGTATTTTTATCTAACTTTGTGTAGCATTTCCACTTTTATCTTCTCGTGTATTCGCTATTCAAAATCTCATTTTTGGTATCCATCAAATATTGGGGTGGATATAGTGTTCCAGCTAATTAAAAATGACCAGTAGCGATGTCCTTGGTTACTATCCTCTTCCTTCCTTGTAGCATCTATTTGAATGTTTTTAAAAGTTTAGCTTTAATTATTATATAAATATTTGAATTTCACCCCGTCCCACTGTTTTTTCTGTCCATTTTTTTTTTTTCATCTCCTCATTATTTGTTTTATGGAAATTACACGTTACACGTAAATCTAGCGACACTGTCTATTTTTGATCAAACTTTGCATAACAGAAAAAACTGCAGATGGTCAAAAGAAGCAGTATGACAGTTGACAGTTGACATTACAGGTCTCTTTCAGGAAGTCTTGACATGGTTTTGTCTGACCATATAATTGTACTATTATCCGACAACACATTATCCTAACGTGAATAAATAAAATATGCAACTTTTCTTTAATTTTAATATTTTTCCTACTCTCAGCTTACTTAATTTTACTTAATTTTCTTAATTTTCTTACGTACTCTATGCTAATAGTATTTTACTGACTGATTAAGTCAAAGGTCATTTATTACATGGGTCCACATTTGTTGTTGTTATAAGTGATCATATGTTTATATTAAGTGATTCATTTGTTAATCAACAAACTTATGGCATACATTGTATTCTGGCAATAATTTCAAATGATTATAATTATCTCAAATAAGAAGTAAGTGAAGACAAGTGTTCAAGAAGAAATAAGGTAAAGGAAATGTTAAATAAGGCTTGATATTAATTAACGAGATAAAGAGAAATAAATACAAAAAATGTGAATGTAAAGTGTCAATTAACTAAAATGTAAATGGCTGTGTAAAAAGTATTTACAAATCAATGATGATAATAATGATAATGGAATGAACTAATTGTATCTAATCTATGGGATCTGAAAAATAAAATAAAAAAAGGATACAATTGGATTAATATGAACAAGAAAGAGGGACAGACATTACTTAGAAATAATTATGAAATACAACAATTAAATTAATTGCTAAAAAATGTTAATTAAATAAAAGGATTATTTAGTATATTATCGATATGTGTGGCAAAAGTGTTATTTGACTGGAAATATTGACATAATCAAATTATTTGCACTGATAAATTTTGAATTATTTGGTGGATTGTGCAAATGATACCCATTTAAGCTTCGATATAATAGTGATAAGTCTTTATGAATAAAATTCAAATAAAAAGGTATTTAAAAACTTTAATTTGAAGAATTTTTTTGAACCATCCGATTGACAGATATGTCACAATAAAAATGAATGAAAAATGTATGTTAAGGTTGTAATGATAGTGATGATAATAGATAGAACTATTAATAGTTATAATAATTAGTGGTGGTAACGATGATGATGATGATGATAATGATGATGACAATGGTGACAATAATGGCGATAACTGAAAATTCTCAGTATCATAATTGAATGGAAATTCTCGAATGTCCAATTTGCAATCTAAAATTTGCTAAAAACTGTTTGAATGGAACAATAATCGAGTTTATCTGCAAGTTTGCAAAATGTGTGCCAAACCCATCTTTTATTTTCCCTTAAAATTACCAATTTTTGATAATTTCTTTAATTTGTTTAAACAAAATATTATGTTACACTCATTTTTTGCTGTATTTTCACTTTTTTTCTAATTTTCAAGAAATTCAGCTTGCATTACTTGACATATTCATCAAAATTTCATCAAGTTTTTCGAACAATTCAGTATTCCGAAAGTGTCAAATTATGCCAATATGTAAGTCTTCATCGTTGGTCTCGTTGGCCAAAAGGAATAAAACTACTAGAAGGAAAGCACGGAAGGAATGAGTAAAATATGCCTTTGAAGTGTTATTTGAAAAGCAAAGATGTCATCAAAGCAGGATGGGACCTCATTCAAATCTTCTGCAGTGCTCTTTTTGTGGGTTACACGAAACAATAATCAGTACTTTCAAAATAGAACTTCAACTTCATTTAATTTCAAGCCTTCTTTCGTCCCCCTCTCCTACTTTTTCCGCTACCCTCCCAATCTACCAAACATCCTTCAAACAATTTTTATCCAACATCAGATAGACATTCATTTTAGCATTAACTTCTTTTTTTTTTTTTTCTATCCTTGAATTCACTCGTTCCTCTTTTCCTTCCTTACCTCATCGTTTTCCTTCCTTTTTTTTTTCCTTTTGATTTGCAAGTGTGTACTTTAGTGGTACTTAATACTCCATAAATTAAACTTTTCAAGGATTTTTTTTCCTTTAAAATTGCTGAATAATTTTTGTAAACGTCGTTAAAAATGTAATAACTCATAAAATTTCTTATAGAATCAATGGTTTATTAGTTTTTTTCTTTTTCTCGCATTTTTAAGGTTTTAATCAAAAATATTTTTAACTTAAATATTGAAATAAATTGTTATCATAAAAGCATTTGTATTATACAGTATGATAAAACTTGTTCATTTAAATGAGTGTCATATCATTAGAATGATATCAATGCATTTACCATAGTTTATTATGCAAGAAATTTCCAGTTTTTGATAAATTATAAAAATTAGACTTACTTAGATGAATTAATCAATTTTATTGGATTGAACTGAAATTGCTTTCCGAAAATAATTTTATCAAATTGTTTGAGCATTTGAGTTCAATAAATAATTTTAAGTCAAAATTCTAAAAAATTTGCTTTTGAAAAATTTTGAAAAGTTAGGGGATATTTTGTGATAATTAGTGCCAGATGGAAATTCTTCTTTGCTTTTTTTCAAATAATAACCTAAAAAGAAAGCTTTTTTCCCTTCGAATTAATTAGTGTTATGAAATTTGATAACAATGATTGTTTGTATTAGCCGTTCTTATCATTACGTTGAAGATAACGAAATTGCTTTGAAAAATATGCTTTTTACGAAAAAAAAAAAACGAAACAAAACAAAATAGTAAACTTACTCATTGAATGTGAATGAACATATGTCAAAGAGAAAGTTTTTTTTCTTTTTTAAAAAATCCCTCATATTTCCAGCAGTTTCTTTTTCATCTTTCAAAATGAAATAATAATTAGTCATAAAAATACAAGATGAAATGAGGTATGTCATCATTTCAGTTTACAGGTGAATCCATGTTATTTCAATCTACAGGTGATTTTTTCACTCAATTACGACCATTTTCTATTTCCTACTGACTTTTTTCTTCCGACATTTTTCGATCCCAGAAATTGTTGGTAAAATTTGCAAATTTTCAACTTGTTCATTTACCTCTTCCTTCCAATTCTTTATTTCTTTGCGAATTGATTTGAAATTGAAGAAGATAGGATAGATTAGAATGAGCATTTTGCTATATGGCTTATCATTTTTTTTTTTTGATTTCTCCTTATCAGGAAAGCATTCATCGCAATACTCCAATTTTTCAGTCATTCCATTTCTTGGATTTGTTATGAAGCATTTCCATCGGGAAATGTTTTTGCTAAGAATACGGTCATAAGAGTTGATTCATGACAATTTGTTCCCTTCTTTTTTTTATTGATTCAAGTATTGAAAATATTAAATTTTTTGTTTCCTTAAATCACAATAAATTTTGTAATCCGGAATGTCTAACGATCACTTTCATAAATAAATAATAAAAGGAGTAGGAGGAAATTCGCAAAAATCAAGAAGAAATCAAGTTTGAGAGGAAAGTTTGAAAGGAATTCAAATGATTTTTTACTTTTAATAGCATAAGATGGTGTACTTACCGCTCTTCTTATGATATGGCAACGATATCGAAAATTAGTGTCTAGAAAGCATTATGTCTATGAAGTTATGAGAAATACTTTCTTTTAAGAAAAAAAAAAAAAAAAAAGGAATTGAAATTAAACGGTGAAATGAAAAGAAGTTCTATCGAAAATTTGGGTAATTATCAATTAATTTTGCAAAGCCATTTTATGGTAATTAGAAAAAATTTTTTACTAATTATGCATTCAGGAGAATTTTAGATTGTAAGTGCTTCTTCCTTTTCTCTTCAGAGGTTTGTTCTTCAGAGAAAATGGAAGAGATATCAACTCAGTCCATTCAATTGAATGTTTTCATATATGTCTTCCCGATTTTTAATAAGAAATTGTAAAACTATCAAATCAGAGAAAATGGAAGAGTTATCAATTCATAGATTTTGAAATCTAAAAATAAATCGAACTTTTGCTTTTTCAATTCATTCTTAATTTAAATTTTACTAAACAATGAATAACCTCGTTTTTTCGTTTTTTTTCCCCCCTCTTCCTCTTATTATAATTTCTCAATAATTTCCTGCGGTTGGAATTATGAAAAAAGAAATCCTTTTGCTCTTTAAAGTATTATTTATTTGTTTTTTCCTTTCATTCCTTTTTCGTACAAATAAACAAATAAATCATTTTTCCTTTTATAATTAATAACAACTGATTTCAAGATTTCAAAAAAAAGCAAGGATGAAATTTTGTTGCTTCTAAAAGAATGAAATAAATTGTTAAATGATGATATTCACATTTTTTCAAAAAAGTTAAAAAGAACTTTGCTTTGTTAGAGAAATTTGGCTCTTTAATTAATAATTTGCGGCATTTTTGAATTAGTAAAATAAGCTTTGAAGTAAGCATGTGCTACTATTTTGAAGCAGTTAGCTGACGGAAAAAGTTCAGTTGAACAAAGAGATCATCATTCATTACAGTGTCAAACGATGATAGCTTTCAAGCAGTGATAATAGTGATCCGGAAAGACGATAACTCTATGGATCAACAGTATAATTCATTACTGCCAAGGGAACAATGGTCCTCCTCGGCCGATTTCATAATGTCCTGTATTGGATATGCCATTGGTCTTGGTAATGTTTGGCGATTTCCCTATTTATGCTATCAAAATGGTGGAGGTTCGTTGTTTTTCCATGTATCGTACCATTCAAATTTTACTATTACATTTTATCATGACTATTATATCTCCTGAAGTTAATTAAAATTCAAGTTCATTGTCATTAGCACAGTTGATAATCGCTTGTATGGGATTGATAGGTTGTGAGATTCAGTTGTCCTATGAAGCATCAAATCAATGGGATCTGCTTTATCAAATCAGACAGATAAAGTTCATATAAAAAAAGATCAGCAATAATTTTGTAAGTAATGAGGAATTTAAATTGCTGCAAAATATCATCAATCAAGGTGTGTCATCAATCAAGCAAATTAATCATCCGCCAAGAATGTTAAGGAAAATGAAACGATCCCAAAATTCTGCTTGTTCTTGTTTACTGCTAGTTAAACGGGGGGAAAAAAAGAGAGAGATAAATCAAATGATCAGTATCCTTATCAATTCAACTTTTCAATTATAAGATAAAGAGTATTTATTTATTTATTTTTTCTTGTACTACTACACTTAAAATAACTAATAACAATCACAATTGCCCACTGATAAAAAATCGCACTGACAAAAAATTTGTTTTTTGTTTCTTTTTTTTTTTTAAATTTTGATCTTTATAGGAGCATTCCTAATACCTTATGTGATATCACTTATATTTTGTGGAGCACCTCTTTTCATATTGGAGACAACATGGGGACAGCTATTGAGTATTGGTGGACTTGGAATGTTCAAAATTTGTCCAATTTTCAAAGTAATCATTTTATCTTTATTCTGAAATCTCTGTGGATTTTTAAGTTCAATGCATAATTTTAATATGTCACATTTTAAAGGGTGTTGGAATAGCCGCTGCCGTGATGGCATTTTGGCTCAACATTTATTACATTGTAGTTCTAAGT